TGAGGAATCAAAAACCAAATAAAAAAAAAAAATATATATACATATATATTTAAATCCTCATCCCAGGACATGCTTTTTGAATTTTAGAGGGAGATGGTGGGAGAGACAGACAGAGGGGAAAACATCAATGTGAGAGAGAAACCTCAATCAGTAGCCTTCCTGTACATGGCCTACACACCCCAAATGGGAATTGAACCTGAAACCTAGGTATGTACCCTGACCAGGAATCAAACCTGCCACCTTTTGTGCATGAGACAAACCTCTAACCAACTGAGCTACCTAGCTAGGGCCCAATTAGAATATTGTATTGTCTCCAAGTCACTGTCAGTCTAGTAGGGAAAATAAGCTATGGGCATAAATAGCTTAATGGATATAAAATAATACATATAAGGACACATATGTAATGCCTTAACCAATAAAGAAAAATATACAAAATAATACATACAAGCTAGAAAATCTTAAGAGTCAAGACATACATTCAAAATAAAGTGCTAGGGAAATATATAAAAATGAGGTTGCTCCTAGCAATGTATTTCAAGATAATAGAAATTTTTACATTTTGAGACTTTAAAAACTATATTTTTAAAACTGATTTTGAGAGAGAGAAATCAATAAAAATTATATCTATTTTTTTGTCAGATGGGCAAAAAATACATTTTTTGGTCACAGATTTTTAGTAATTAGTTTATTAGATGTGCCATTAGATGAAAAAGGTTGAAAATTGCTGCTTTACTCCGCAGAAGACGAGGTATACCAGAATTGGAATGTTTTGTTGGTTTGTTGTTTTTAAACGTAAATTCATGGCAAATCACATTGGGTGCCAAAACACTTCACTACCAAACTGAAAGCAGGAAAAAGGCTTGCCTTCTGAGTATCCAATTGTTGACAGGCTCGCTGGCTTCTTCTAAGATCTCCTTCCAGCTTCATTTCATCTTGCTTACTTTTAAGTCGCATTCTAATTAAAGAAAAAAATAGCACATTACAGGTCTGTACTTGCTTTATCCATTTTCTATGCCCAAGTACTAAAAAACTACCTGGTCAGTGGGCTCAGTGGTTGAGGGTCAACCTATGAACCAGGAGGTCACAGTTCGATTCCCACTCATACTTGTCTAGATTGAGGGCTCTAACCCCAGTGTGTGGCATGCAGGAGGCAGCCGATCAATGATTCTCTCATCATTAATGTTTCTGTCCCTCTCTCCCTCTCCCCTCCTCTCTGAAATCTATTAAAAACAAAAACACACTGAGACCAGATGAAACCAAAAGCCGCTCAAATACAAAGTTTTACCGGAACTGCTCTGCAGCGTTTTCTTCAGCTTTGTTTTTCATGTGAATCTTTCTTCTGTAGCTTTCTAATTTTTCCTCTGCTTTCCGTTTTAATAAAGTCTCATGACCAATGCCACTTTTTCCTGTTCAGATAACTCTGTGAGAAGCTTATTAAATTTACATTTCAAAACGTGACAATTTTATATTTACAAATTAAATGCAGTTGTAACTTGAGTACAATCACTCAAAATCATTTGATCAGAATGACAGGAGAAAACAGATTAAAAAACAACAACCTTAAACACACAATTTGAGTTTTTACAAAGACCATTATTAGTTTGATCTAATATGACAGTAATACTATACAATTTGTTTAAATTGGGAGAACAACTCCAACAGTTACACTTTCATATAAATATGATGAACAAATAAAACATCTATTTTTCAAATATAATTCATTCAAAGTATTAAGAAAAACATTTACTTTTAAATTTTATTTTGCAAATGCAGTTTACATTCAATATTATTTTGTATTCGTTTTAGGTGTCTAGCATACCAGTTAGATAATCATATACTTTACAAAGTGATCTGATATTTAAGGAAAACTTTTAATGGATAAATCTGTCTCAGAATACTTTCAGAACATTTCAATTGATAAGAATACCTTTGCATTTTTAATGGTTACAACAATTTCCCCCCAGATTTTTTATTATTTAAAATTTCATACTCACTAAAACTTATTTTTATTTTAAAAGGTTTAGAAATTTAACTAAGAAAAATTTTCCTCAGGACTTCCTACGATAAAAACTGTAACAGTACCACCATAAAAAAGTACTTATTAAGCAAATGTATGTGCTAGATATAAGCATAAGTTATTATTACTGGTAAATGTCCCTAAAAATAATTACATACCTGTTTTGACATTGAGAGGAATTGGTTCAACAATACCATCTCCTAAAAAAAAGGGAAGAAAACACAAACTACTTTAGAAATTCTTCCTCAAACTATCGACAAGCAGAGTATGCAACTTTACAACGTTCCACAGAAATCCTCTCCTGTTTCAGGGATATTCAAACTGCAATCTGAACATCAACACTGTAAATCAATGACCTCATTTTGAATACATAGTCCTCAATAAGGCTGACCCACAGCCTCCTGGGTCACCTAAAGGTAGTGTTTTAAGAAGTAAAAGACTTATATTAAACATCCAAGAGGATGACAGAAGCTACTTTAAATATATGGCCTCTATATTTTATTAAACGGTTTCACTTCCTACAAAGAGAAGTGAGAATGGAGCCTCTCCAACTTAGGCAGCTGCTACAGGTACAGAGCAAACAGGGTAGAGTCCTGGCATAGTCCTCAATGTTGTTTCATTTTCCTTTGGCCATTGTTGGCTGTTGTCTCCATTGTAAGCTTTGCTCATCCCCATTGTTAGTGACTTCAAGGCTGAGCTGGGCTGATAAGCAGCTCTTGGTGGCCCATGGTTGTCTACAGTGGATGTGGGAAGATGAAAGTTCTCCATAATACTTGTTAGCACATAAGAGACTAAGACGCTTAAGTTGTTTGGATTTCATCTACACAGAAATCCAAACAACTTAAGCGTCTTAGTCTCTTATGTGCTAACAAAGAAACAGTCATCTCTGGTACCCATGGGTGAACCACCATTTCGTGGTTAGGAACACTTTTTCATTTCTGGATGTGACTTACCACTCTTGCCAAGGGCCTGACCACTTTTATATCCCATCTTCTGGAGCAAAGCAAACCCTTTGTTTTCACAGCCTAGTGCATTCTTCAATCCAATGTCACGTCTTTCTTGTTCTTCTTCTTTTAAACTCTTCTGCCTATTTTTCAAATTAGCTTCTTGTTGCTTTTCTTCTTTTCGACGGGCTTCTCGAACTTGCCTCAGCATTGGCAATCCTGGTCTGATATCTTCTCTGAAGAATAAGGGAAAAGGATATTTTAGATGAGTACATGAAGTTTTCTCATGACTTTGAAACTTACTTACCTGACACTACTTCGTATTTCAGTGCTACCTCTCTGACCATCTTTATCATAAATATTAGAATGTAATCAGTGACCTGTCTCGAACTTGCCTCAGCATTGGCAATCCTGGTCTGATATCTTCTCTGAAGAATAAGGGAAAAGGCTGTTTTAGATGAGTATGTGAAGTTTTCTCATGACTTTGAGACTTACTCACCTGACACTACTTCATATTTCAGTGCTACCTCTCTGACCATCTTTGTTATCATAAATATTAGAATGTAATCAGTGACCTGAGAATGGCTATTTTAATAAAAATGATGATGGTTGTTGCCAGATTATGGAAAACTAAAAGTATACAGTTTAAAAAGTAAGTTTTCATTAATTTTTCTAGGTGGCTGGCAACAATAACGAGCCAAGCTGAATAGTAGCTAGGAGAAACAAAAAGATTAAATAAAGGAAAGGAGCAAATTTCCTAGGAAGAGGAGAATAAAAAGAATCAAAGGCAGAGTAAAATGTGTAACACTCAGAGGCTCCTTGTAGCACTGTATGGATACATAGATGTTGTTCCAATAAAGCAATAAAACTAACTTTCCAACCTCACATTTAAAGTTT